AAATCATTGATGCGATGAATGGAAGGCAGACCTATGTTCCCTATATGACGGCCAAGAAGCCAAAAAAAGTCGGTGGTTTGTCGGTTTGTCAATTTGTTCATTTGTTGATCTATCGTTTTCGAATTTTGAAGGTCGTATTTTTCAATCAACGGGCCGACCCTAATATTTATTAGTTACAATTGTATCTATTTATAAATAATTCTACCTTTTGCATATGTTTAAAACACGATAAAATTAATGGTGTCTTAATGCTATTTATACGTTGTAAATTAGTTTTATGCACCTTATAATATATGGCCCCCATCGGAAGATTTCTTTCGATTATTTGAATTGAATATTTAACGATCCTTGGATTATGATATGTGATTCGAACTATGGGACCGATCGCCCTATGAATTCATTATTATATAAGAATTAGGTTGATGCATAACCAATAATTGAACAGAAGGGGTGGCCATGGGGCCTGGGTTTTGATGTTCCCCAACATTTTAGGTAATATATGATAAATGCATCAATGCCACAATCAACACCAAAAAACACTGATAAATATGCATAAATGATAAAAAACACATTTAAAAAACACCAAAAAGAACTAAAAAATCTTGGGAAAACAAAAAACAATTCTGGGAGACTCTTGGCTGCACCCCCCAAAATCAGAAAAAAAAACAAAATCACAAAAAACCTTGGGAAAAACAAAAAAACAAAAAATAAAACAAAAAAAGCCAATTCTCAGAGACTCTTGGCTGGACCCCCTTTTCCTCAAGACTTCCCCAGAATTGTTTTTTGTTTTCCTAAGGTTTTTTTGATTTTCTGATTCTTCTGATTTTGAGGGGTCTAAGCAAGAATCTCTCAGAATTGTTTTTTGTTTTTTGTTTTCTCAAGGTTTTTTGGTTTAGCATCTGAGCTTATTTCTCACCTCAAGGCATCTGTTTTTTTGCTTACATCTGAAACCGTCTGAGCTCAACACTTCTTTTGTCCTTGTCCAAATCTCCATATACAAGTTTGAGTGCATTAACTACTGACTGGTATCAATGCGGTTGCCACTTGCATTTCCAAACAACTTGACATGCAGTTGCGAGGACACTCTGTCCTTTATATGAAACGGTTGGAAATCTTTGCGAGCGTAATTCTGCGCTTGTAGCTCAAGCGTTCACATCTTATTCTGGCGAACTTCTAATTTTAATTTCAAGTCCTTTCTAATTCAACTCTCATCTAATTTCAATTAGTCTATAGTTATAGTTCCAAACAAGTTTAGTTAAAGTTCGGTTTTAACTCAATTCCATCTTAGCTCTAACTCAAATCCAATTTAACTCTACCTACTTCTATTCTAGCTCTAGTCTATTTAGTTTAAGAAAACACATGCTACAAAACCCCGTGTTTTACAGTATTTTTTACCATGGAAGTGCTAGGAACAAGACTAAAATTCTTTTTTGTAATAAATAATTAGATGTATTTATTGTCAATTATATACATATTAAACATGTTTTATGTACAAGCTTCTAATTCAAGAGCTGCCCTCTAGATCTCTGGGGATGATCATGTCTACAATAAAACTATATATAAGTTTTCATTTCAAAAGCTTTCCTCTGGATCTCTGGAAATGGTCATATCAATTTAAACATGCTATATATCAATAATTAGTCTTTCTTTCAAGAGTTTTCCTTTCATGAAAACACACATATATATATGGGATATCTATTTTCCCAGAGATCCTGAGGAAAGCTTTGAAAATGCAAGCTCTTGCCCGCAGAAATCTAGAAGAAACCTTTTAACATACAAGGTTTCTATATAGTTGTTTAAATCTAAACATGATTATCTGCAGAGATCTATAGAGAATCTTTTATAGCATAAAAACGTCTATATACAATCTTTCCAAATCTAAACATATTTATAAGCAGAGATCTAGAGGACAATTGTTAAACCGACCACTTTTATGGCCTGCTTCTTTTCTAATTATCTTGTTCAAAACCATCTGAATGATTGATTGTTGTTTCCAAAACAATAAAATTACCCTGACTCAGGAATACATAATATATTTGTTCATATAGAGTGAGAGCAAGAATAGATATGTATGCTTATATGGAGAGGGGCTGCCACTGAAGCATTTACCTAAAATTTTGGGGAACATCAAAACCCAGGCCCCATGACCACCCGCTCTCTAATTATAGCAAGCATTGGTACCTTATCCATGGTACCGATAAATTCATATTATTTCCTATAATGGTTAGATCCGCCTTAATCTCCCTGGATTTGATTTCGCTTACCTATCATATTCCCGGCCGTATCTTGCAGATTCGCTTGCATATATCGATCCCAACCTTTGGGAAGAACATATTTTGTTTTATGGGATGCTCTTTCAATTTACAAATTCACCCTATAATCTTATGAACACCCATTTGCAAATTAGTTTTTCTGCAAAAAGTTGCCAAGCGGATACCCAATTGGTGTTCTTCCATCTCTCCTATTCATTCATTCTCAAAAATTGTAAATGATTGGCGGCCTGAAGCACGCGAAGCAAATATATATATATATATCCCAGAGGGCGACACATCGAAACCAATCCCTTCCAGTGAGTAATTGGTTGGTGTTTGTTCAGCATGGATGTCTTCGTAATCAAATCAATTGTTCCTCGTCCTCACCAATTCAATTGAATCCAGAAACCATCCACACTATAGCAAAAAATCATGCAAACCCTGATCAAATCTAGGATCGTCCGAAAAACACCCCAATTCAGCTGAAGCCACGCCCTTTGCCAGAACCTTGCCATGCCAATTCCACCTTCATATTGCATTTGTTTTTTTATCATCATTGCATCGTCCCCAATGTATAGAAGATTGATATTCAATAGGGGTTGCAGATTTGACAACACGAATTTCCAACCATTTCTCGCAAATCCCCTGAAAGGAAAGGAAGGTCTGGAAGGGATTCCTCAACTAGTAAAGACTTGTGCTCCTCTTTATTGAAAGATGTTTTTGCTATGGACCATGAGCTCAATGAATTAAGTCATGACAGGATATACACATGGTCACATGGTCCATTAGATTCGGTGCAGGGCGGAGGGACACATATATTCCTTTCTATTTTGGAGGGACATACAGAAATTAAATTGTTTGATATACTACTTTTTAACATATTGACACCTCATCCGGATCCTCTCCTCGATGAAATTGTCGATAAATGAAGTCTGTTTTTCTCATGACAGCTTTTGTCACCCCCATAGATTTTTGCAGGGCTTTGGTGGCACTAGTTCTTTGGGGCCTTCTTGAATCTGGATATTTTTGATTGGTGGCCTATGGACATTTGTTATTGCCACGTTGTAGTTGTGGGAAACAATTTATTTTCCAATCTATAAAAATTCGTATTTTTTCATTACCCTCTAAACATGGCCATGAGATTTGAGCCAACAATCTTGAAAGAGGTGTACCATTTTTGAAGGAGACCATTTCAATTCATATTCATTTCGATTGTTATCTTCCTTCCCAGACGGTTACGAAATCCGGACCCTGTGCAAAGCCTTCACGGCAGAGGTCTTTTGCGGCTTTGGCGAGTGAGTGCTTTCTGCGCCATAATATCTATGCCATCACCCAATAGATATGGAATCCCAGAGGCGGCACTCAATCATTATTGCAGAAATACAAATATATTTGGTCGGCATAGAAAATTGAGTTGATTATATTCCGACGCGGCAATTGCTTCTGATTTGTGGGAATTACAATATTCCTCTTGATTCATTTTGATGGTCAATATATTTTCACGAAGGATCCCAAATACAATCGGGCAGTTCAGTCTGACCGAGCCCTCTGTCAAGCGATTGTCCAGGATAATCATCTGGTTGCAATGCGCGCGAAGAATATTTTCCATTCAATATTCATTCATGGTGATCATAAATCTAGAAATGATTTCATCTTCATGCATCAGGAACAGGCCCTTTTGGAAGGCAATATATCCGCAACAACACCCAGACTTTGAGTTCCTATTCGGACAACAAGGTCCTCGTCATATATCATTAAACCTTTGAATTCCTAAGTGGCATCCTCAAATCGTGGCAAAATCAATTGCAACAAAAATGCTCTTCATGGTGATGATACGTTCATTTACATTCCATTATTTGATGAAGGCGAAGTCGAATGGGACAGAAATTCAATCCTGGATATTGAGAAAGGGAAAGGGATTGATGAATTCGAGGCCATCCGTAAACATATCTATAAACCATCAAGCAAGCAACAGAATGATTGAGATCAATGAAATAGGACCCCCTGGATTTCTGTCTATCGATCAAGACATTAAAGAGGGCAAACCGATAATGATGATTATAACTATAATCAACAAGGGTCCAAATCTTACGAAGCTAACGAAGGCTTGGCCAATGACGAGTTGCCTCGATGATATAGATTCCCAGAACCAATACCCTATGAATTACAATAAGAATGGCTTGATATGATGTCTGATTTCATCCACGGAATATTTAATGGTACAGACGCAAATGATATGCCCAAGGACCCAACGTATATGCAAGTGGAAGCCTACGCAATACACCAGAGGACTACAATTGAAGAGGCATAATATGGTTTCCATGGAGAACTCCCAATTGGAAGATTTGCATTGCAAGCAATAGCTTTTGGTTACACTCCAGAAAGCTTCAGGGAATCAACCAAAGAGGAAATCGAGGATCGAGGAGCTAAAGCGAACGAG